TATATATATATATATATATAAATTATAAATTCTTTCAATAATCTTAAACATAGAACAAACAGTCTTATTAATAACTAGTTGCTAACATTAACTAATTATTTTCAGTAAAAGCTGTGCCATCTTTATTTATTGAATAATCAAATACAACGTTCCATTTACGAAATATCGAGTGGCAATTAGTTATTAATACGAAAAAAACTTAAAATCTCACTTTTATAAGAAAATGGGAACAATTCTTCATAAAAGATGGATAATACACCTACACTTCGTATAATTTCGAAGCAGCCAAAGCAACAAATTAGGCTAAAACTTATTTATGGATACTTTTATCTTTGATCTAAAATTGTCACTAGGAATATATATTGAAGCTAACTTAATTCAATAAAAGAAAGAATCTGTAATAGTAAAATATTTCTTTCATTTCAGGCCTCTGAATCTGAGACTTAATATCAACAATTTTATGTCTGCAGCTATAATTCTACGTTCAAATAAATTAAGACATTGAATGTCATTGTTTTTTGTAAAATATACAGAATATAGACAAAATTTTTCCTCTATTTATAGAAGTCTCTTAAAAATACATACTGCAAATTTCACTTTAAAATATATATATTAAAACCTTTATATCTATTCAGTGAAATTTTTAGTACTTATTTTTAACAGATTATTCTGTCTAATTTTATATTTTTACTTCTACATGTGTGTATATATTTTTCCGTTTTATTTCTACGTGTGCATATGTATACACCTGAATGTGTGTATATAACATTCATCAAGAATTCCTCGTATTTGGAAAGGTAAGGCATAATTTAAAACATCAAGTTATAATTTCAAAATTGTTTTTGATATTTGTAATTTATGTACAATCTTTTTTATATTCCTTTTCAAAATATAATTTAATAGCTGCTAATGTAGATTTTAAGTATTCTATGCAAAATTAAATCTTATTATGATGCATATATATGGTTTTGTAATATTTTTTCATATTACAAATGAATTACATCGTATTTACATTAACAATAAGTTAATATAACTTTTGAAAACTATAAGAAATTCAAATAAAAGCTATTTTTGTCTTATTTTTTCCAGATATATAGCCATTAGAAAAATCAAGAGCAGTCATAGAATGTTTACCTTGTACAATTATTTTCTTCACAGAAACAAAGCCTTCCTTACATTTTATAACTAATGCACTATATTTTTTATCATATATAGCAGTCCCTAAAAATACAAAATTTTATTTATATATACATTCAGTAATAATCTAGTATTGTAAACACTTTTAAACCATTTTTGTATATAAAGAAATATATATAAAACTGTATTTGTACCTGGTTTTTCTCCTTCAAAATTTCTTACTATCCAATTTGTTTCAATTTTCTGAATATCCAATAATTTTATTTTTACATTTTGAAATGATGTAGATAAAGGATATAAACTCAAAAGAGCACGATGTAAGTTATAAACATTACTTGCGGACATTTCATTCCAATTGATTAAAGATATTTTTAATGATACTTTTGGTGCTAAAAATTAACTATCAATTAGTAATTTGTAATACATGCATTATAATAATCAGAATTTATTAATAATAAAATATATTTAATTCACCATATGTTGCATTTGTTTCATCTTGGGGTCTTGCATACTTTAATGACTCTAATAAATTTTCAAATGTTTTTTCTAAAAGACTTGCTGCAAGTTTTGCTAATTTTATATATAATTCTGGCATTGTTTCATGCTCATCAATATCTACTTGCTTTTGCAATATTATTTCTCCCACATCAAATCTAAAAGAATATTTAATTTAAATAATATTAAGTATACTTATATTTAATATTTACTAAAGTATTCTTTTTATTTTGCTTATGTAATAAAACTTTATATATTTTTATATTGTAACACAGTTTACATTTTCGGCTTTATCTTCAGTATTGTAACTCCTGTTTGTGAATCTCCATTTATTAATGCATATATTATTGGAGATGCTCCTCTCCACCTTGGTAATAAACTACCATGTACATTTAACATACCTCTAAAAAAAACAATAAACATACATCTATATATAAAATGAAATAATAAATCTATAAATCAAGAAAATTTTTATCAAGAAAAAGACAACTTACAATGGAAATGCATTTATGATTTTAGATGGAATTAGATGACCAAATGAGATCACTATTCCAATGTGAAATTCTGATTTATTGACTTCAATTGGCCATTTATTTACAACAATTTTATTTTGTTTTGCATATTTCGTAACAGCATTCTCTTTCTTGTTATTTATAGTAACAACTTCCAGTCGCTCTATTTCTTTAACTTTACTGTGTATAAATAAATGTATATTATTAAATTTTTTCAAACTGAATAAATGAAACTATTAGAATGAATCCTTCTTACTATTTTTTATGTAAGGTTTTCAGGCTTTCAACTGAAAATTCATCTGTACCAAAAAATAGTACCTTCCATGGACTACTTTGCGATATTATATTCGATTCACTGTAACATTTGATACACGTACTTGAATAAAAAGTTATGAAAAATTGTTTATTTATCTTCTTTAACAAATATAAAGACAGTGATAAATTATATATTGTTTGATTAAAAATTGGATGCATGGTTATGTTTTGTATAACAAAACCACCATCATCGAAAGATACTCGTATTCGATTTATAAATTAGATTGTAAGATTTAACATGCTACTCTATTCATTTATTGCTTTTGACAATTTTGTTTTATTTTCTCATTTTCAAATACACGATATTTTTCAAATTTTGTATAGGGTTATTAATCGAGCAGACAAAATTTTATGTATCATATCCATGTTTGTATGTGTATATATATATTCCTTTTTATGCTAAAGTTATATTAATATTGCATAAAAATACAGTTTTTCTTATAGTTTTTATCATATAAAAACAAAATATATGCAAAAATAAAAAAATTAACAAATATTTTGTTATAAACAGCTAAAATGAAAAGCAAGATTTAATTATACTATTTTATAATGTTATTTTATAAAAATTAAATATATCTTGTTTATTTCATAAATTCCAAAAGTTTAGATTTCATAATTTTTTGTTTTATGTTCTAATTAATGACATTTACAACATTTAATTTATAAACTGCATTATGAATTAAATAAAATAAATGATAAAAGTTTTGTTTGATAATACAATACATTATAACACATTTATTCTAAAGTAGCTTAATGCAATATAAAGATATAACATTCAAAATTGCTTTATATATTTGAAATTAAAGTACTCTCATCTTAACTATTTCATTCTATGCTAACATTATGAGTGACTTATTGTCCCATTCGCGCGAGTTCGAAGCCAAAGAATCATTTTAATTTATTGTTCATCTGTTAATTTATTATTTGTTCTGCTCGTTTAATTTATTATATTATTTTGTAGTACTTAAACTAAATTTAATACATTTCAAATAATGTCACGAATAAGAAGACTTTCTATTCGTGGTATTCGTAATTTTGGTGATGAAAGCGATGAAGCTTTGATTCAATTTTCTCGTCCTTTAACGCTTATTCTTGGACCAAATGGCACTGGAAAAACAACAATTATTGAAGCTCTTAAATTTGCTACTTGCGGTGAATTTCCACCCGGTTCAGAAAGAGGAAAGTTTTTTATTCACGATCCAACTCTATTGGCGACTTCATCGGTATAATATAATATTTAGTATTATTTTATATATTTTTTAATTTATCATTTAGAACATAATTATATTAATATTATGAATAATTATCAATTATCAATAATTATTAGTTCGAAAATGTAAAATAGATTTAAGATTCTGAATTTAAAAATAGTTTCTAAAATAATTTTCTTTAATAATATTGCTTTCTTTAATTTCAAATTTTTAAATAGGTTCGAGGTGTTGTAAGGGCTGAAATAGTTGATGGAAAAGGTAATTTATATACAATATGTAGAACAATAGAATCTACAAAAGGAAATGTAACAATGAGATTTAAAACACTTGATAGTGCTTTAAGCAGAATAAATAAAGGAACAAAAGAGGTATGTTTTTTGTCAATATGAATTAAATATATTAATAGAAACAGAAATAGACTTTTTTAATGATTTTTATATTTGTATAGATAGTATCAATAACTAATCGATGTGCTAATGTTGATACAGAACTTACATTAGCAATGGGAGTTTCAAAACCTATTTTAGATTATGTAATCTTCTGCCATCAAGAAGATCTTAACTGGCCTTTTCAAGATGGTAAAAAATTAAAAGAAAAATTTGATGAGATTTTTGATAGTTGTAAATTTAATAAAGCACTTGAAAGTATCATGAAATATATAAAAGATTTAAAACAAAAAACAAGTATATTAAAAGAGCAAAAACAGAACTGTCAACTTGTTGTTAATGAAGTTGTTGATAAAGAAACAAGACTTGAAGATAATAAAAAACGATTGGAAAGTTCTAAAGTTAAGATTGAAGAACTTAATAAAGAATTAGAACCTATAAATGAAAAAATTAAAAAATTGGAGAAAGTAACTGCTGATTATAAAGATCTACAAAATGAAGAAGGTAACATTTTATTAAATATTAGAAATAGTTTTGCTTATAAATGAAATTCTTATGCATTCGTATGATTTTTTTTAGAGAAAAAGATGTCAGAATATACCATGTTTAAACAACAATTGGATAGATTAAAAGAAGATTTACAGTATGTGTTTGAAGGAACTACAGAAGAATTATTAACACAATTAGGGGCATATAATGAAATATTAATAAAAAAAGTTGAAAAAATTGCAGAGGTATAGTATATATTATTAAAATGAAAAATGCAGTATTTTGAATTGAATTTTTTTTTATGAAATGTTTAGTTTGAAGAAAAATTGAAAAATATTGCTGAAGATGAGTCTAGAATATCAAATAATTTAAATCTGCTTGGAATCTTGATGCTGCTAATTCAAATGTATCAGAATTAGGTATGAATCTAAAATGATAATAAATAATAAATACAAATTTAAAGTTATAATTAGGTATATCCACATAAAATTCAAAATTTTGTAGAGGTCTTAGCTCTTACTAAAAGGTTGACAGAAAAGATGAGAGAACTAGAGCATAAAACAGAAGAGAATAGAATGAAAAGAGATGAAGAAGAAAAAGAATTGCAAAAAGTAATAGATACTTTACGTAGCACACATTCAAAATTAGATTCAGAGAAAGATCTGAAAGAAAATGAAGTAATTGAAACAAGGAAAGAAGTTAATAAAATAACATTAGATATTAAGCAGGTTGTGTATATGTTTCTTTAATGTACTGTTACTTTTAATTTTAAATTTATTCAAGGTTATTTCTATTAGCTTAGTGCAGCAGGAAATAAATTAAATTCCATTGATTTAAAAATAAAAGAAGCACAGGCAAAAATCCAACAACTGAATCAAGAATTGGATGTAAATACAGTGAATAAACAAGTTGCTGACAAAATTAAAACCCGAAATAAAATGGAAACATTACTAAATACAGTTGATGAAGAAATAGCTTTATTATTAAAACAAAGTTCATTGCAAGCCGAATTAGAATTAAATAAATCTACATTACTTACTAAAGAAGAAGAAATAGAAAAATTGAAAAATAAACACAAAGAAAAAATAATGATTTTATTAGATATTAAAGAAATACCCCAAACTAAATTAAAAAGTAATCTAGATATGGTTCAAAAAGAAATGGTATTTGTACTTTCGTTACATAACCCTCATAAGAACAAAGTGTGTTTACTTTCTGAAATTTTTTAATTTTTAGGCAAATGAAATAGAATCCATTAATCAAGAAATTTTAACAGAGGAACGTCAAATAACTACATTGGAAACAACAATATTACATACTGAACATGAACTTCAAAACAAGAAAAAAGAAGTAAATTGTGAGTTCAAAATTTAATAACTAAAAATTTATATTTATACCTATAGTTAAATATTTATTAATGGTATCATTGACAACAAATTTTTCGTTTTTAGTGAATAAAGAAAAAATTTCATCAATCTGTCACTACAAAAATTTTGATGAAAAATTATTATTACAATCAAAAAAAGTAAAAGATCTTCAAGATAAAAGGGGAGTATATGCTCATCAGGGAGCAGCTTATAAAGAGTATATAAAACAGTTGAAAGAAATAAATCCTTGTTGTCCTCTGTGTCATAGAGGTTTCGATGAACGTGAAACTGTTATAAATTTATTACAAGAAATGGAAAGTGAAATGGAAAATCATCCAAATCGTTTACATGAATGTGAAAAAGAATTAAAAACACAACAAGAAATATATGATAAGATGTTGCAGTTAAAACCAGTTGTTGAAAAAATAATACAGTCAGAAGAGATTGAATTAAAGAAATTAACGTAAATTTTGTATTATTTGTCATATATTTGTCTTATTATTTCATTTCAAAATTTATTACGTTTTGCACAATTTTTTAGGAATGATTTAGAAGTGTTAAAAAATAAATTGAATAAATCTCGAACAACTTTACTAGAATTAAAAACAAAAAGATCTAATCCAGAAAATAAATTAAGAATATGCAAAGATATCATAGGTGATATTATATTATGGGATACATATATAGATGAAACTTTTAAACTTAAACAAACAATTGATAATCTTCATACTCGTATGATTGAAGCAGGTATATTAATATAGTAAAATTAATTTTTAAGAAATAATAAAGTATCATTATATTCTTTGTGTATATATTAAAATCTTTTTTATGTGTTCAATACTATAGGTATTAAAACGAAACGTAGCCTTGAAGAAACTCAAACCCAAAGAGAAGAGTTGAAAATGTCTTTAAAAAATATTCGTGATGATATTGAAAAATTACAATCTAGAATAAATACACATAATGAAAACTTACATAGTGTTCGGGAAGAACAGAATGCATTACATGAAGAATTGTTAAAAATACGATCAGACATGCAAAAATTAAAAGAGTTGAAGGATAAACAGGAAGTTTTATATTTAAAAGAAATTTCTCTTGGAAAATCAGTTGATACGTTACGAGAAAAAGTGGTTACAGCAGAAACTAAATTAAATTCAAAATTTGATGAATTGGAAAGAAAAAAGGTATATGTTTTTATGTTATAATAAAAAATTATATTTTTTTAATTACTTTTGTATATATTAATGTCTTCATTCAATTTATAATATAAAAAATATACAATAATTTCTTTTTTTTTTAGAAAAATAATTGGGAGGAACAAGAAATAGATAGGAAATTGATAGCAGAAGGAGTTAGACGTTTATCTGAATTACAGAAAGTGCAGGATGAGGTTGATGCTTTTACATATCGTAAAATTCCAGAATCTTTAGAATGCTCTGAATCAAAAATAAAAAATTATGAAAAATTACTTAATAAACTGCTTCATGAGAAAGGTGATATAGAAACAATGATAAGTAATTCAAAAGAAGAAATTAGTCGTCAAGAAGTTCGGAAAAGGGAATTATCCGATAATCTCACATTACGAAAAACTCAGGAAACAGTTAGTAACGTACATCAAAAATATTTAAGTATAAAAGAAAGATTAAATGCTATAAATTATTCTCAAGCACTTAACGAATGGGAGAATTTACGAAGTCGAGAACAAGCTATACTCCGCCAGGTAAAATATTTTGTTATTTTATAACTATTATATATACAAGAAAATAACTATTTTCTTGATATTTCGTGTAATGAATATATACATATTTATTACATTTTAATTATTTATAAATATTTTAAAAGGCCAATTATTTTAAATCATTCACGATATATTAATATAAGAATTAAATTAGTATAAAATATTTTTAGAAAAATATGATTAAAGGAAGTCAAGAAGAATTAGAAAGAACAGTACAGCATTATACTGAAGTATTAAAGAAGCAAGAATACAGACAAGCTCGTAAAAATTACAAAAACAAGTGCATCGAACTAACGGTAGTGAAAAATTTTCAAATTTTTTATATTTAGCGTTTAGCATTAGTAACTTAAGTAAATATTGAATTTTTTGTTTTGTTTTTTAACTAGGTTGTAGAAGAAACGATATTAAACTTAAAAGCATATAGCAAAGTGCTAGATGTAGCTATGATAGAATATCATGAAGAACGTATGGCCACAGTTAATAAAATCATGAAACAGATGTGGAAGCTTGTATATACTGGAACAGATACAACATGCATAGCAATTCGCACAGATGCTACTGAAGGGATAGGTAGCATAAGAAGAACATATAATTACAAATTAGTGCAAATAAAATATGGACATGAAATAGATATGAAAGGTCGTTGTAGTGCGGGTCAAAAAGTAAGTTTTAATCTATAGTAATATTAGTAAGAGCAATAAATTTGATTATTTACATAAAATTTAATTCTAGGTTTTAGCATCAATAATTATAAGACTCGCATTAGCAGAAACATTTTGTAAGGATTGTGGAATTCTAGCATTGGATGAACCAACAACAAACTTGGATCAAGAAAATGCTGATAGTCTAGCAAATGCTTTGGCTACGTATGTTTTAAGAAATTTTTATTGAAATTATTTTAAATATACAATTTTAAATTTTAACACAACTTATCTTTGTATTAAAGGGTTGTTAAATTACGATCACAATATCAAAAAAATTTTCAATTAATCGTTATTAGTCACGATGAGAAATTTTTATTCAAGTTAGCTGAATTGAGCAGTAATAAAGGCTTTTACCAACTTTATCGCAAACAGACGTATGTTTATAACAAATATATACATATATACACGCACATGCATGCGTGTACATAGATTATTTTACTTATGTGATTATATGTAATTTTGTTCATTTATAGCGGTTATACAGGAATTAAACATTGTTTAGTGAAAAATCAAGATTATTTTACGTCAAATAATACAAAAGAAGACTCATCGTCTGATGATGAAATTAACGAACATTCTAAGTTACAAGATAAATTACACTCTTCAACAAATTTACAACAGGAAATACATAATGAACAAACGAATAAAAAAAGAAGACATGTTTGGAATACTGATAATAAGGATTCCACTGAAAACAAACCTTCAAAAAGAAGATATGTCTTCCAATAAATTACACGTATAACTTGTAACTAAAAAATAAAATTAAAGGTTATTTTTTCATAAATATAATTTTTGCTATTATATTATATTTTAAAGGAAATATTTGATTTATTAATACCTAAGATTTGAACTGTCTATATTATATTGTATTATATTAATCGAGATAAAATTTTCAAATGTTACCGCATTTTTTATCAAATGTAAGTGTATCGAGTATTGAATCGATTTTAACAGTCGAGATTTGATTATACCTCGGTCGATAAAAGAGGCGAAGAACAGGTGACGACATCGTTGTCATACTCGTGATTTCATAACACGCCATTTTCTTTGTGTGAAGTACTGGCTGAAAGGAATTTCACCCTCTGTTTTCTATCTAATTCAAGGTAACGTTATTTATAATTGACATTTTATTATTTTATTGATTATTGTTCACATTTTTCAACGAACGTCATGTATGTTTCTTTGGACACTTGTTCAAACCTTGTAGTAAATCTCAATTGTCGAAATCGCGTGTTGACAGGTTTTCAAGCATCGCAGTTAAACGAATTCTATTTTGTGTCTGTCTCATCACGTACATTATTATTTTATCATATTTCTTTTTACATTGATATGATGTATTGTATTTTTATGATAATATCATTTAAACATTTTAGACGTTAACCGCCAAAACACATATTAGAAACATCTTCATACAATGATTTTTTTTAAGTAATGTATATACGTCATTGCAAGGGGAGTACTTTACCCATTCACATTCAATGATTCACTAAGAGAAGTCATCTATCCGTGACATTTGGATTGCTGTTTTGCGTTTATATCATTTTACAGTGCGACTTCATATTCGTAGTGTTGTACGCTAGTACGATATTTACTTAAGATCGAAAAAAATTTCGCCACGAAGTATTCAATTTATGATTCTAAGTTTTACGAGGTATTACATGATATATTTTATATACAAATTTCAAGCAGTCAAATTTCGTATTTATTCATTTTAAAGTACATAAAATATACTTTTAATTAGCTGGTAATAATTAATTCAATATAGCAATTTTGTTATTTGTATTTCAGTCTTATCAGAATTGCACATACAGTACATATACATTTGATTACAAAGGTTCTGACTCTGATTCATAGTTATATATCATAATATTATCTTTGTAGAATATTTTCTAAATAAAACATTTCAATAATTTGATTTAGTCTTCATTTATTGCATTTCTAAGTAGTGTCCTATATAATACTAGTAAGGTTTACTCTTGTAATTTAATTTATGAGCAATTTATACTCATGACAGATATACTTTTTCTGTTTTTAGTTTACAATGACTTCTCATAAGAAACTATTACTTAAGGTTATTATCCTTGGAGATTCAGGAGTTGGTAAAACTTCCCTTATGAATCAGTATGTAAGCAAGAAATTTAGCAATCAATATAAAGCTACCATAGGTGCAGATTTTCTTACCAAAGAAGTAATGGTAGATGATAGGATAGTTACTATGCAGGTAAATATATATTAAGTAAAACAATATCTATGTAATGTTATATTTTTGCTTACTTCTGTTTTATGTTTAAATAGATTTGGGATACAGCTGGCCAAGAAAGGTTTCAATCTTTAGGTGTTGCTTTCTACAGAGGTGCTGATTGTTGTGTACTTGTATTTGATGTTTCTGCACCAACTAGCTTCAAATCTTTAGATTCCTGGAGGGATGAATTCTTGATCCAAGCTTCTCCTCGAGATCCAGATAATTTTCCATTTGTTGTACTTGGGAATAAAGTTGATTTGGAATCCAAAGTGGTAAGAATATTTTAAATATTTTATTATATGTTACATTAAATACAATAACATACATTTTTATTCAAGATTATTTCTTTTTTATTTAAAAATTTATCCTGTTTTCAGTTGATTTAAGTTTTCAGTAACTTATAATTTCATTAATACATTCCAGGTATGTGGTAAAAAAGCACAACAATGGTGTCAATCCAAAAATAATATTCCATATTTTGAAACTAGTGCTAAAGAGGCCATTAATGTTGAACAAGCCTTCCAAACGATAGCAAAAAATGCTTTAGCTCAAGAAAGTGAAGTGAGTTATTCTTTTTTATATTTATTTGTTTATATTTAGTGAGTAAATAAGTATAATAAATAATTTGTTTATATTTAGTGAGTTAAAGTATAATAAATAATACTATTGTTTTAGGTGGAATTATATAATGAATTCCCAGACCAAATTAAACTAACCAATGACCAAAGAATCAGTGGCAAGGGTGATTCTTGTCCTTGCTAGGTCTTGGAGTGGTGAAAATTGTGGACAAGTACATAGATGCACAGGTCAGATCGTACATTCGCGTACCTGCGCATTTTGAAAAATACTACATCGAGTTTGATGTGTTTTGGAAGTCTTAAGTATGCACCTTGGTTTCCTTTATTCAGATTTTATTCAAAGTTTTGAACCATATTTACAGAGTTAAAATTTTGTTGTTGGAATTACGTGAAATATTGAGAAAAAATAAATATATATGTATATATAAGGAAGTTTATAAGCAATGCATTCTAAACAATAAAATTAGAAAAATTTTGTACCAAGGAGCATTCATTTGGCTTCATTACATAAAAGACTATGTTGTATTTTATATTGTGTGTTTGTGTTGATAATTGACACGTCCAGCAATATCTTCAACACAATATTTTCGAAAATTGTAATGCTCTCTTATTGGGTATGGCGAAGAGTATGAGCTGCCCTTTTTATTTGCATCTTTACAGCTCATTGTCAATGTCCTTTATTATGTAATATTACGATGATTTCGAATCACCTAAATATAACTGTCATATCGGGAGGAAAAATCACAGGTCGGGAACATACTTAGCATAACAATTAGATTATCCAAAGTTTGCTCATGATTCATTAAAACAATCGCATTTATTAAACAGTTTTCTGAAAAGATTTGTAGGTATATTCTTTCGATTATTTACCAAATTGTCAAGTTAAGTGAAATTTTTGTATTGGTCAACATGTTTGTACGTTATAAAAACTTATACTATGTTTAATTTTATGAGATAGGACTTTTATTGAATTCTTGCGATTATTTAACTACCTCTGACATTTTTAATTATGTAAAGCTTGCTAATTGTTATGTTAATGAGATATTCTACTCTTTCAGGTACAAAACATACGTTGTTTGCATAAGTTGGAATAACTGTGAATTTGTTTTATGATGTAATAACATCACAATGTAACTGCGATGATATTTCACAATTGTCTCAATTTCAAAAGGCTAGTGCGTTTTCGAGGAAAAAATTCCCTTTTTAAAAACAACTCAATAATAGTTTGATAATTCGTTATTTGGTACTCTCGATGCGCTCGTAATTACTTGCATACTAGTATTTTTATGTATCTTTAAATTCCTCCCTAGAGTGGAAGTCTTGAACCGCGATGCAATGATTTTTTAGATTATTTAAATCAAAAAATCTAAATCTAAATTATTTAAATATAATTACAAATTTCATCAAATGTTTAAAAAGTAATTTTTGTATTAAACATATCATACAACATATTAAAAAATATTGGAAGATTTAATTTAAAAAATTGTAAATTTTTACTTTTTTTGCATTCGAATTATAATATACTTAATATTTACAAAAATTAATCCATTCAAAAGAGTTGTTAAATGTTATTTAGTAGAATGAAAATTATGCGACGCGGTGCTGACGATCACCTTCATATTTAAAAAAAGTTATAATTTTAGATGTAAGTTATCTCTAAAAATATAAAGCAAAAGATTGCGTGAGCTGAATTGATACATACCTATAAGATTTCTTATGAGAAGGTTTAGTACGTATAGTATATGCGTACATCTATGATAATAGTCTTGTACGCTGTAAACATGCATTATCATACATGTACGCGTATACACGTAATATATATGTATATAAATGATGATCATGACGATTACAATTATAATTATTAATATAATTTTATCGAAATATGTTAACAATAGTTATAAATATTATCATTATTGCTGCTGCTGCTATAAAACTACTATTGCTATTCTTAGTTTTAAGTGAATTAAAACAAAAAAGAAGAAGAAATACATTTATTGCAACAAAATAATGAGCTGGTCGAATTAATTCGCTGATATATCTGTGTCACGGATAATCACCGTGTGACCTGAAACAAAATATAAGACTATCATTATCCTTATTATGGCTCGATGTCTATGTTGTTATTATGGAGATGAATGTCTGTTGAGATAGATAGTAAATCTAGCAAACCTTGTACGAAGTAGCGTATAAGACTAAAATATAATTCAGTATAGTATCAATTTAGTAATTGAAAGATAATGGGAAAAATGGCTCCTTGCAAGTAAAAGAGTAGTCTGTAACACTGTAGTTTTATTCAAAAATTTCAACATGTTATGTTTCAACCAATGTAAATTAAATATTTACTCCTTGTACGATTGTAAAAAAGTATTCGTTTTTACATAACGCAATTTTATCTTTTCTTTAAACCAACTATTTATTTAAGTAAAGTCTACAAAAATATACATATGATCCACGTATGTGTATATATTATACAAGTATACATATGAATGTTGAACCAAGGATATCTATGAGTAGATTATAAAATGCGTATAGAATATTTTCTATTAATATCATGTATGATATCACACGGCCTTTGTTAAGTTTTAAACAAATTTTTACGATTAATGTCAAATATACACGTGCATACACACATACATAAATACATATGCCTTTACAGAGAATAAATTACATTTGTTTATAGATAAAATACAGTATGACATAGAGATGTTTCTTACAAAGATTAAAAAAGAAATTTCTTTCTTGTTATCACAAAATGTATAGTTCTTAATGAAATTATGAATTTAGAGAGATACAGGATTTGTCGATGTATACAAAACAAATTATTAATAATGAGTAGAGCATATTCTAATAAGAAAAAAATATAGTTATATCAGACAATTAATTTAATTTAAAAAATCTGTGGATAAGTAGATTGGAACAGTCAAATCATATAAGTTTGTGAAATAAATTGGAAATAAAATCTTGCAAAATGTATGCATTAAAATCACAAATTTATAAAAAATTTTTAATAATTTATTCTATTAAGAACTTTTAAGCTATTTAAGGAATACAAAATCTTTTTTGGTTTTAAAAGTTGCTTTATTAATAATTTACAGAATTTATTCTATTAATTTTTCTTAGCAGTAGATGTTATATAGAGCTTAAACTATACTAATAGTAAATCTATGTATATTTTCTGAGACTGAGATAGAAACAATTTTAATTTATTGTGATTTAGGAACAATTTAAGTAAGTTACATTTAAATACATGGTGACAATTTTATTCTATAAAATGTGATAATAATTCATTCAACAAATGACATAAGTGTTTTGATGGCACTACTCGTCATTCGATAATAGAAAATTTTCTTAAATTTAATTAGTTGAATTTATTAATTTTGATTTTGATTTTCCTTACCATCCTTTTTGTGACATATTTTGTATTATCCATCTTTTTTTATTATCTATTTCAGGTTTATATTGTAATAATATTAACAACACGAATCAAGAAATAAAGGATATTAGAATCCTATTACTAATATTTTCCAACATCTTTTTGACAATTTTTATCAGCAATTGAAGGTAAAATGTTATCAGTAACTATATACATATAGAAAATTCAATTATTGAATTTCGATCACAATAAAATACAAAATACAATGTCAAACTCTAATGAATAGATAAAATAGGAAGAACAAAATATATATAATTTCTGTTGTCATTGTTCGACAACTTTTTTAAAACTTTTTTTAATATTAAAAAACTAATAACCTCTTCGTGAATATATGACTATACATATAATATGTTAAAGGTTAAAGCGTTAGTTAATTGAATTTTAAACCTTTGTTACAAATAGAAAATACGTCAATAAGTGCAGTAGATATGTCATAAATAAACTCTTTCTTTAAATATTATATATGATAACAATTAAATAAATAAATAAATTTATAAAATATTTTATAACATCAGAATGTCACTCATACAATATTTAATTCTTCGATGTATAACATTAAAATTATTCATTCTTTACATTGTTATAAGGTAGAGTTGTATCTCAAATATTTCTACTGATACGATATGTACAAATTAGTGTCTTGTGTATGTGATTCATATTTTATCAACAGTGTAGTGCTTTAAGTAATATAAGAATGTATATTAAGGTACATTTCAATGTATTAAATTAAAAAAAGATTGACTGGATTGTATTCCTTTAAAGATAAAAAATTTCATTTATACATTCTAAGTACCAAAATTTTAATTGCTTTAGAATATTAAAACTATACTTTTTCTTGAATGCTTTAAGTACATAAAAATCATAAAATGACTTTAGTTGTTACTTTGTTATTCACTGAAAATAATATATATTAATGGTAATAAAATTTATTTGTTAATGTCATAAGTGATATCAGTGTATGTAATGAATAATAAAATCCAAAATTAAATTTGGGGATAAAAATGTGGGATCAAGTATTAGTTTTCTTAAAATAATTTTTGTATGCATTAAAATTGAGGAAATTATTTTTTAAGTTTTGCATGTATTTTATAAAAAAATAGACATTCTGTTATTATATTTTGTAGATACTTTATTATCATACTTTGTGATACACAATTGTTTGTCAATGTATAATTATGTTTTTATGTTTATCAAAATTGCAATAAGAAATTTCTTTCATTAATGTATTCAAAATGATTAATGTTATATTGTAAATATACATACAATAGTTTGTTAATATTTTAATTCTGGGTATTGCAAATTGAAAACTTCATACATAACCAAATTTCATGGTAACGATCTTATAATATAGTAAAGACTAGTTCATTTATTACTGTAGATAAAATCATGGTTAAAATGTCCCAGTGTATTAATTTTACAATTGTACATTATTAAATTATGATATGAAACAGAGGCTAACAAGAAGTTAATAGGATTTTGTTATGTATCATGATTTATTGGTATTTGATATTAACATATACAAATATGTCTCAAATACAGACATGAGTTTCATTTTTATTATATAAAAGTTTATACATGTATATGTGCACTATTTAAAAGTAGTAGACAAACTGTCTTATGTTGCTAAATGTAATTTAATAAATTCAATAAATTTATTTTCTACTGTCATAATTAAATGATAAAATTAAATTATTAGAGCTACTTGTTTTTAATTTTTTTAACATTTTAAGAAGAAATTTTAATGGGATATAAATACTTCATTGTGTTCTTTTTTCTAGAAAAAATATATAATTGATTTGCAAAATATTAAGAAGTATATATAAGTTGTAAAAACAAATGATGGTAAATGTAGATATAAAAAAGTTGCATGTTATTTGAAATTTCTATACAGCCATGTGAATGAAAATTAATTAAAGACTCCAGATGTAAATTGTTTTTTAGTCTTCTAATGTTTCTTTGACATTATAATTAAGCTTATTTTTAATAATATGAAATTAGGTAATAATGTATTAGCTAACATATTTTATGATGTCTTTAAAGTCATAGAATGATAATTAAATATAACGAAACGAATTAAATTTTTAATGAACTGCCAAAATTTCTTATCACAGATGTCTTAGGATGGTTTAATATGGTATCATGGAATTGTAGTCTTTAATTTATGCAGAAATACAGATTTTATTTTATATCTGACAGTGATTAAGCATTAGCTTAAGGTAAATGACACAATTATTTGCTTTATTCATCTTAGTTTTTAAGACAATCAGTTACATCATATATGGCTTGTGAGGATGCATTACGAACTTTAGTGACAGCATTATTATTGCAAGAGTACTGTGATGTGATTATGTTATTTTTGTTGCTTTGTACTTGTCTTTCCACTTGTGCAATCCTTTGTTGATATTGGCGAATATCTATATTGATAAGCCCTACCTTTATGATCATACAATTAGCCATTTGCATAATGTTTGAGTTATAGCACGCCAGAGAAACACTGTCCAATTGATTGATCAGCTTCTGTCCATTCTAATAATGATTTTTAAAGTATGAACATTTGTTATATAATTTGTTCAAATCTATCAGTATAAAAATATGATACATACTGCTTCCTCAGTGTCGAATGCTTGTAACTGTGTATCAAGATCTTGTTTTGCTTTGTTTTCGCATGCTATAAGTTCTCTATTTCCTGTCTGAGTGGCAGTCCTCATGTTATTTGTAACAGCATTTAAGCAATCATCAACATTTTTGCCTGCTTCCTTTGCTTGTTCTGATTTTTCCTAGTAACAGATATTACTATTATAATTAATAGTCTTAAATTTTTAGAATAATGTTTCTTTTTTTTTCCTAGATTTTCATAGCTTTAATTAGTACACAAATTAATTATCACTAACTTTGGTACAGTTAAATCCTATAAAAAGTATTAAAGGGTGATTAGATCCTAAGAAATAAACTTTAAAATAGTAGAAAAAGAAATTGGTAATTAAAATTACATAAGAAATTGTTTCATTTTTATAAATGGAATAAAAGTAATCTTAATAAATTTTTATACTTATAAAGTTGATAAAAATATAAATTGTTCCATCCTTAATAAAACGTATTATTTTATCACAGATTAGACTTACTTTTATATAGTTAAGACGAGTGCTTTGAATATCGTTTATATTCTTAAAACTTTGGTATTGAATGTTGCTAATTTGATTTCGTGTATTCATGTCAATGGTCCTTCTATTGCGTTTCATATCTGACATAGCATCTTGAACCGTGGTTTTAGCAGTTTTTATAGCGCGAACTGCTTGATCTAATACATTAGAGGGTGGTCGTATCTGAGATTAAAAAATTGAATTACATTTACGATCGTTAAAATCGAAAACTGATCATTGCAAATTTTTTATTTATCTATTTCATCTAGTTTTATTTTTAACGAAAAACTTATTAAGTTAACGAAAATTATTAAATTGAATTAGTAAATTATATCATTGAATTCGTATTATCTAGAAAATAAATAAAATTCCAATATTTATGATATTAATAAATTACAAACGCTTTAATAATTGACAATAGGTAAAGCTTAGTTTTTAAATAACAAACGATATAAAACTAGAAATTTGAATATTAAAGACTGTATAAATCGGTCAATATGATTTAAATTTACCAATTGTTTATGTCAGTTTTTTATTACTAATTTATATTAGATAATATTTGATACCTAATCAATTGTAGAAAGTATCAAATATTACTTTCAAGCATATACTTTTTATTATACTTAACAAATATTTATAATGTGTCATATGCGATTTTAAAAATTTAAATATTCATGATCTGTTCTTTTTTAAAGTTCCTCGAGTTAATTCAAAAATTTTCACGATTTGCCAACGAATTTTATTAATTAATCATATGCTTACTTGTGCGGCGCAGAGGGTCACTAGTAGGCAGAGGAAGATGAAGGATTTCATGTTTGCAGGAAGGAAAAGTCTTGATTCACTTGGTGTATCGCGTCTTCACGAACTGATAAGTGGCTAACGGCACTTCGGCTTTTTTATAGGTAGCAACAGCTTGTAATGGTGAGTCAAACTGAATCATCGGGGTAAAGGGGATGAACGGTAACATGTTCAGATACACATGATCACATAAGCTTTATCAACAACCTGTTATTCAGCATGTGTGTAGTAGTTACACGCAGGTCAGTTCCTGATAAAAAAAGCTATTTTCCTATAATTAATTTTAGCTAGTACCCGCATGTAGTTTTGTAACGAATGGTGTTACTTATGTAGATACCATTCGTGTCAAAATTCAATTTGTGGGATTTTTTGTTCGAGTAGAAATCAGTTTATGTTTAGTATTCTGCAGAGTGGTATAAAGATGCAGATATTCAATTATCAATGTAAACTATTTCTTAATAGTAGAACGTTAAGTGTGTAAATATTTTAAAGGATGAGTAATTGTTCTTTAGCTCAGAAAGCATGAAGGGCAAAGAGTTCTCGATTTAAATATGTTATTATGTAAAATATGGTCGTAGTTTTAGCATTTTGTGTTGTATAATACGTGTTTCATGTTTATCAATAAATATTTCGTTTGTAAATAGTCAAATAAATGTTTGCTAATATTGCTAATATTGCTTTAAAGTATATTGTGACAGTTAGAGTCGTCCATTTTGGGTACTCGAGGCTGGGCGATGTCCGATTTTTCGCAATCAATTTATTTTGTGACGAATAAATCGAGTTTTGGATTACTAATAGCATTCTATGGCACAATATCTGCATGATTTCCACAGAATTATTTTTTTCTATCAAAATTATTATGTTATTCGTTTCAGAAGTTTGTAAGATTGACATAGCTTCCTTATTCATCTTACAAATGTAATGGTAATTTTATCCGATTTTCATTAATATGCATGAAATTTTTTTACTATAGAGTAATCCATAGAGAGAAAAATTTATTTTTTACTGAATAAATAGAATTTTGTTATATTAGTTGTATTCTGTGGTACAATCTTTGCATGCATTCAACAGAATTGTTATTTCTTTACTAGTAGGATTCGTCTTGAAAGCTCGAATGATTGGCATAGCTCAAAAGTTTAATGAGCTTTCATTTTTCATTCATTTTATAAATGTAACGACAATTTGTATTATTTGTATTAATATACATGAAACTTTTTTCACTGCAGTTCAATTTAACATTAAATGTCGAATTGAAAATTTTCAAGAATTTCATATGCTCGGATTGTACATAGAATTTGCGTAGAATTCATGTTTCGAAAACAATGTGTATATAAAAATATAAAAATGATTAATGTTATCATGTTGTCCCTGCAATGATCGCGGGTAATAATTATCAACGTACCATGGAATTAGTCTTTTTTCTAGGAACTGCAATCTGATAATTTCCAATAAATTTCTTCATAAACATCAAAATCTTCGATGGGATATTTAACCAAGGATTTCGTAATTACGTGATGCAAAACGTGGCCTACTCTGCATAGAACATTCAATTATATAATTTACCATAAATGATGTACCTTAATGTGGTTTATGTAAAAATAGAGTAGTTCGTAAATAAGAATTGAACAGCGGTAAGTGCTTTAAATAGATTGCATATCTTTGTTATCAGTATCGTTTTTAAATGAGATCACTGTTTCCAGCATAGAATGCAGACAACAAATCCTGTTTTCCATTATTAAATATTCAAAAATAGATCTTGTTTTAAACTAATACTTTTTCGAGAACAACCACGCAAAATAAATTAAATCTCGAATAAATTAAAAGCTTATTTCTGCGTCTCGTTTATTTCACGATAACTCGTTGACTGACATTCATTGCCTGAAACAGAGAAAAGCTACTGCCAGGTGTTTCTTCTGTACTTCTTCTTCGATTATAATAATTTTTGCGATTGAATATTCTCAGTTATCAATTTCTGCTGTAAGATTATAAGCCTTTATTCGGTGAATTAAACGTTGATTTACTTTTATGTTTCGTTCATGTGAAAATTTTTCATTTCAGGTTGAGAAGATTTCGAAGAATTTCTTCGGTAGAATCGAAATCGAAGAACCTTAACATCGCAAAAATTATCAATGGTTTGGATGATACGTATCAATGGCTGTATGTGTCCGATTAAAGATTGTTATTGATTTTCCGTTGATCACTATAATATTACTGGAACACGCGTATCGATATCTTGAGTCATCATTTCTGGAATGACACCTCTTTGGCTGCTTCCTTTGAATTCACTTTTCCAGAGACAATATCTTTTACGTTCAGTATCATTCATTTATCATTTTTGTGTAACTGGTAGATAAACATACTACACTTTGTTTTCGCGATACTGGAGTTTAAAGAGATAAAGTAAACTAATAACGTTAAATAATTATGTATAATAGTTGTCAATGTTTTTGAAGATGAAAATGAAAATGACAAATTTTATAAGATTTTATAATAATTGTATGAAAAATGTATGCGCTATCAATATTAGGTAAATATTAGACAAAGCAGAAAATACTATATCGAAAAATCTATGAATTTTTTTTTATTGAAATTATATTTAATTTAAATTTCCACGAACGGAACTTAAAATTGAAATAAATATAAAATAAAGCTACAATTTATGCTTTTCAAAATCCATATAAATCGAGTATAGTTCTTGATAAGAAGCTTATATCTGTATGATAACAAAATTGTTAGTTATTGATTGATAGAATATTACAAAAAGATTTGATAATGGATATCACTTAAAACGATTATTGTTGAATAGATTAAATCTCGAAGTTCTGATATTTAAAAAACGATTTGCACATAACTTTTTAATTATATAATATTGAAAGGATAACATTTGAAATTAATATTATCATTTATTTTATTTCATTCAAGATCTTTTTATAAGTGTTTGAAATATCTATATGGAAATATTGAACTTATCTATTTTATCAACTTATCACGATTTAAGGTAAAATCTTGTATAGGATGTAACTACTTATGATACAAAATAATAAAAGATAATTAAAATTATCAGTATTAATTGAGAATATAAGTATAAGTAGTGCCACTTGCATTAGTATTGAAGATGTATCAAACGGAAATTTATGTTAGACCGATATTCTAGTTTAGAAAACCGAAGAAATTTGAAAATTTCTGCACATTTCTTAATTTTGCGAAGTACGATAAATTAATTAAGTTGTAAGTTATAAGCTTTCAAACACAAAGGTGTATGCAGAACGAACAAGTTCAATCAATAGATAATATACATTTTATATAATTTAAAAAAAAAAAATGAAAAAATAATAGTATTATATCAATGTTAAAGCTTTGTAGATATTATAGCGTATTTCGTCATTTTTGTATCCGCAGAGAGTACTATATTGTTATATCCGATTTAACTGCAGAACTTTTAACTGTAGCTATGCATAATCTTCTATAATAGCATCCGGAATCCAACAACCTACGCTAAGGTCTAAAAAAGTTGGCTTCTAGTCGATAATTTTGAAGGTTAAATCCATTACATTAGAGAACAGCAAGTAATTGGTTTTTCTGTTTAAAATGGCATAGAAAACATTTCCTTTTGGGCATAAAAACAAAAATTATATTGTATATTAGATACTTTCTAAGTATAGTCAATGAACTGTACTGTATTGACCTATCAAATTACTATATATTTAAAACCTTTATAAATATCACTAAATACCTAGAAATTCCACCTATAAATATTATTTTAGATACTTTGCGATTAAAATTGTAATTAAAAATACCACTGAAAATGTGTTTGTGACCGTCTAGATGTTTTGGCTTTTGGTATAACTAATTGGCAAGTAAAATAGTGCTGGCTAAGATTTTCTCGCGCCTAAAATGGGCTTTCCTCACTCCATGGCTTCGTTATTATGGAAACCCAGATCATGGTGGGACTCGTGAATTTAAAATGTACTTGAAATAATGAAATAAAGAAATTAATTATATTTCATTCCAGCTGAAAGAAAGATCTGAATAAAATTTTTATAATTTTTAAATTAAACTGAAAATGTTATACACTTGAAAGGTATTAAATGGGTTTACTCTGTCGTGTGGTATCTTTTATTTTTTTTAATGAAAGTGGAAAACATTATATGATAAAAAAGTATCGAGCGTACAGTCTTCGTCCATATTGGTTAGTTGCAGGATCAATGTCGGGGTCTTTATAACAGTGCTGTCCATAGTTAAGGTTCCCTTACGCACTTTCGTTCTTTTCTAGACGTTGGCATCATCGGAAAAAAAAAATTTAGAAAGTGATTACAATTAATGCCTTAGTTCTTTTCTACATCGTTTTTTAAAATAGCATATACATAAAAGTGTGAGATTCTCGATTTATTCACAAGCAAAGCTTGGGTTGTGAAAATGGAAAAGGAGTGGGGGAATGCTGAAATATTGACGTAAATGGGGACAAACCGTGTGGCGGACCCCACTCGTGAATAGCACTGTGATAGATGACGTAGGATGAGTGACTAAAACGTCTGAAAACATCGTTTTCAAGTAATCAAAACAAACGTTTTCAAAACAGAAACTTATTAAAAATAATTCTGTGAAACTTATTTTTAATATTATTACACTAGCTGTAAAAATGGTTTTCTTTTTTTTCTTGTTAATGTTTTGTGAATAAGTTTAGTAATAAAATGATTTGATAAAATGTTTTAGGATGTATTTCGAGAGCCAAAATGAAATGTAATGAACTGTTAAAGGTAAGACAAACTATTTGTTAAATCTTGAGATTTTGGAGCAAGAATAATTTACTATAGAATCTGCTATTTGAAGGAGTACATGCCGCTGAAGAATTTGCGAGAATTGACTGCTATTCGTAGCCCTCTGGCAGCAGCGTCACTGAACGTCGTTATAAGGTTTGAGATATAAGATTTAAGTTAGTCAGTAAACGGGTGACCATATAATAGATCTTGCTATTATTTAATTGAAAATGAATGAAATCACAAATGTGAAGGATAATGAAGATAAAATTCGATCGGTTTTTGAAATGCTTAAAAAACAAATAGATCAGTATGATATTGCAAATGAGGACATAAAATCGAAAGAAGAATTAACAAGAAGCGAAAGGATTCAAAAGTTAGTAATGCAAGAGAAACATTTGTCAACAGAGTTCGCACAAATCAGAAAAGAAATAAAACGTTATGAGAGGAAATATGAAAAGGTATTGAAAAAAAAAGTGAAATTAATGAAAATGCAGATTAAAGAAGACCAAGATAAATTAAAGATAATAAAACAAAAATACCATGAATTGGATACACAAATTGATATTACTCCTTACAAAATGGAGAAAACAAAAAAAGCAAAACCAAAAAAAAGAAGCAAACCAATAAAAGTTAAAACAATGAAACCTAAATTCAAACAAAAGAATGTACCACTTATTAAAAAAATCCAAATTAATATTAAAAGAAACGAGAAATTAGGTAAACGTGAAATGCATTTCGTTAATAATACTAATAGACCAAATTCGTTTACTGATCTAATAAATATCGTAAAACCAATAACTATGAATACTCGAGAATGTAAAATTATGCTGCAAAGACTGACAGAAGAACAAATGAATAAATATGTTAGTCAGAAGAGGTTAAGTCAACAGATCGAACAAAAACGAACAGTGCTAGATACACCACAAAAAATTAAAGAAAATGGAACAAGTACGGTTTATCCAAATTGGCATATAAAAATTCCGAAATCTATATTTGAAGAAAGTCAGAAAGAAAGTGATAATTCTGACAAGAATATAGCTTGTAGCTCAAGAAATGTTATCTAAGAAGACCGACACGCTTGAGTATTATTAATACGTCTGTGTTATGTATTAACCAAAAAATTTTCGCGATGTTATTGCTTATTTTTCTTTTTATCATTATAATGAATGAATTGATAATTTTAAGAAGAAAAAAATTAAAAATATACAATTGTATAATAAAGGTCGAAAATGTTGCTACATTGATTTTGCATCAATGTCAACATCTATGTAGGGTGTTCTACATTTAACTTAAATGAGTAAAAAATTAATAATATTTTAATACTTTTTACATTATGTAAGGTATTTTTATGATAAATTATATTTATAAAATTAATATTCTGAGATGTTCCATTATAAAAGAGGTTAATTTATATAGAACATGCATTTATAAGAGAACCAAAATATTTGATTTATTATTAATGGTTTAATTTTGAGTTGAATTATCATTAAAATATTATGATTTTAATAATAATTAGAAGAAAGAATTCGTCTAAGAAAATAAAAACTCTTTTAAAGGTTGATATTATTTGTGTATTCTTTTCTGAAAATTGAAAGTTGAAATTTTAATGTTAATATTATAATTTATAATTTAATAAATATAATTTATGATAATCCATTTTTCATTAATATTTTAATACAAGTGGTTAGGTTTATGAACATTATTATATTTACAATAACAAAGTAAAAGTTAACTTTTATACATTACTACGACATAAAGAATTACTACTTAAAGAACAACTTTAAGTATTTTATTTGTAACTCATAAAATCTTCTTCACTCTTAACTTACTAGCTTCTAATGTCAATATAAAGATATTATTATTTTATCATTTTTACATCAATAACATAGTAATTGATTACTACTAAGGGTCTTTGCACTTATTTAAATTGATTTCCAATTTTTCAAACGATATAGATAATTTTCATAATACTCACTTTCGCACATTAATTTCATTTATTTTCAAATTATAAATGAATTACATCGTGCGCACTTAATCTTAAAATTTATATTTTTTAATATCATTGTAACGTTATTGTAATAATAATCTTACTGAAGAGTTGCGTTAGAAATATCACATCAAGTATCTTTTGAAGTGTAATATTGTATAACATTATAAAGATGTGATCATATGTGCATACTTGTTTATAACTATTATATTAATAATAGTTATTATTATAATCTACTATAATATTAATGATAGTTATCATTAATATATAAATCTCTCATTTGATAGCCAGTATACAATTTTAACAAGTTCATTTAATAATGTAACTTGATTATGAAACTGGGGTTCAAGATTTTAATTTAAACTTTATCGATATGTTATATTGATCCTGTAATGTGGTTACAGTTTTATGATAAATGAATTAATAATAAGTAATTGAAAATGGATGATTTTTCATTTCGAAGAAATAAAAGTACGCTTCACAAAAATAATAGTAACAGATCATTCTTATTTTATCAAACAAATGTACAGATGTGAAATTGATAATATTAATAATTAATATTTCAGGTAAAAGCATATAGTATTATTATAAATTTAATGATTATCAATTTTTAAAGAGATTGGTATTAGTATTAAAATATAAATTTATAAATTAATAAGAAAGGTTGATCTTGAATCTCTGTCTATAATTATAATGATTATTGAAATGGTTTTTTGTGACTGATTGTTTCTTAAGTTAGTAAATGTCTTAGTATGTTAGAGAAATATATGTAACAATAATTTGTAATAATTACACATTTATTCATGAAAATTACAGTTCATTACTCTTATATAGTTTTGGGTGTTTGAATATTTCTTAATAAATAATATTTAAATATAAATAATAAATGTTATTAAAATATTACTGTGAACAAGTAATTCCTAAATATTAAAAGTAGATTAGGTTTTTAAATGATCTGATGAAATTTAATCTTCGTAAAAAATAAAAGTACGGTTAGTAGTATTAATAAGAAAATTAAGAAGAATTTCAATCAACTTAATGCTATCAGAGATCGGTACGTTAGAAACGCATAATTAAGTGTTTTATTTATGATATAAGATATGTACGTTTGGATGATCACTGAAAATAAATAAACGTATGTCGTTAAAATTAAATAAATGAAATTAAATAAATCTTTTTCTTTTTCACATAGATGACAGTTTTAATAACAAACATTAAATAGTAGACATTCTTCTGTTATCAAATATTTACTCTAATCATTACTAAAAAAAATATTCCATTCTGTAATAAATCTTAATGTCATAAAAAACGAATTAATTTTGTCCTATTTAATGAATGATATTAGTAAACTTAATACTTTAATTTTATGTAGTAAATGCTTCAATGTTCGTTATTATAATTGTATTTTAAGCAAATATACCTACACTTTAGCAAAAGAAGCTCACAATAAAAGGGATATTCAAATGAATACTGAACACTTCTATTGGTGAATCTAATATATTTAAATAATTGACGTACACTGGTACTAATCATCATCTCTACATTAAGCTACACATTAATGGTATTAAACGAAATACGTACTAATAAATTATTAAACGAAACTGTACAATGTTGTTTCGCTGTGCTAGCGCCCAGAACACTAATTCTATTCTCGTGGACAGGCAAAAGAGGAAAAGTTAAATCAACCACGAGTTTCGAGAGATCGCGAAATCGATTATCGCGTCGAACTTATGCGTTTGCAACGGGACAATATATTTCACAATATTTGCAAGAAGGAAGAATACTCGACATGTTAGCAGGTGTTAGCACGTCTTAAAAAATTGTTTCAATATAGAGCAATTAGAATAATTATACGAAAAGAATACATATGGTGCATATCAAGGATAAATAAAAATAAAAAAAGGAGAAGATGTAAGAACGTATATAACAATATGGGAAAAGACTGTCACGTGTTAGTTTGTAAACTATCGTTCGACTACGATCAATATACATACAAAAAGAAAACATACATTCGATTATGCAACGTATTCTATATTCAATATTCTTAAACAGTCGTCGTTTGGCAACCATTGACGAACATTTCCAGTGAAAGAAAAATAATTTTGTTAAATTTGCAATTAAATTTCGAACAAAAGGAAATGTTCGTCAATGCAAGTCGTACAATTCATTTTCTTTTTTCTTACTTTACATACTTTGCTTTTTTTTAACAAATACGACTTAAACGTAAAATCATGGCCTACTGGAAATTTATATATATGGATGTAATTTGTTTCTTTTTGTTTTTTACCTATTACAATTTGCATCACTGTAATGGAAATTTTGATCATACGGCTATACAAAATATATGTTTCTCTTTCCATTTTACATTGCAGTCTTCCGTGAAATTCTCGAGGTTCATCCGAACATATCGGATCGCGCAGATCGGATATCGTGGAAGATAGTAGATCGATTGATTCAACTTCTATGCTTCATTATGCAAGGTGATTCTAAAAATAAGGAGAAGCAGTGGTCTTTCTTCCATGAAAGTTGATAAAAGAGGTACAGACATTTTGTACAGCTTAACAAGCTTTATTTTTTCGGAATATGAGGTATGAATACTGACTTTTAATATTTTAATTACTTTTAATGAAATATTTAGTTGAAATATCTTTATAACAAACAAACAAAAGAAAAGGAAAAGTGGTCCTCGTTAAACAGTACAAAATTCTTCCTTATCTCATCTCTCTACCTCAATTTCATAAGCTTATGAAGAAAAGGACCACAGATAGTTCCATTGTTGAGAATCACTCTGTATAACGCGACACGCACGAATTCGCCGTGTTACTCGCTGTCTAACGAACAATTCTTAATACATGTACTCATTAATAACATTAACTATGGCAGTCTGTTGAAACGTACATACTTCTAGTTAGTTCTAAGTTCCCTTCGATTTCTCCGTTAAAAAACAATTTAACGAGAATGGGCAGGGAAAGGGAGAGGGGGAAGGGCAGTCGTACCTCAGCCAAAACGGATTTGTACTCGGGAATTGTTTTGGTATTTTGGTTTAGGTACGATACATTTTTTCTTACTTTTTTTTTTTATTTCTTATCCTAATTAAAATCATGCGATTATTTAATCGGTAAGATAATGTCGACGATGCGAACTACATGTCCGGTGGATAATTCCGAAAACCTGGAAAGTATATCAGTGACGTTTTCCTAAATTTCTTAAAAAAAAGCGTGTATACTGATGTTATGTATACATATATATATATATTTCTATAGAATAGTCGGCGCAAGACCGGTTGAACTCGGTCATTATCGATATCCATTACGTGGACTCGAGTTAATAAGTTAATTCGTTCGCTATGTTTGGAGTTTCGATCAGCTGGATCAGTCAACTCCGTAAAATACGCGTTTAAAAGTCTACCATGCTAAATTGTAGCTCGCCTATAACGTTTACCATTATTACTACGTGCCACTAAAATCGCAAAATACTAGAGTCACAAATTATGATCTTTGTGATCGTACAATCTCTCGTCTAAACGACATCTATTCTTTCTTATTCTTCTCTGCTTTCCTGTATACGGGCCGCTCGATGCAGAGTAAACTCTACGTTTGGTCGTTATGTAACATAATATAAGGTATGAAGGCATGGAAGTATTATGGCAGTGGCAAAACGTACAACTGCTTCGTGCATCGAGAAAACGCGTCTCGTTTACGAACTTGTTTCACATTTTACATTTCTTTTTCTTTTTTTTTTTGTTAACGCAGACTTAACTGCTAAAGGAGTGGTAAAAGTCCATGCTTGGACTTCCGTTAAGAAATAAAGCGAAAGCCCCATTACTCTCGAGCTATTCTCTCTGTTTACTTGTTAGCTTCGTTAGAAGAATGTTATTCACGACACTGAGGAGGGTATTTTTCTTCTTAAAGTAAGAAATATTTGATGAGCTATTCGCTTATTTGCATGCGTATTTGATAGTTTAATATTATTAAGTGATAATATGTTTCAACGGATTTGATACCATAGTAATGGTAATCCTTGAAGAAGATCGCATGTCATAAACTATTAGGTATTTATACAAATAATCAAATAGACGTCAAGATACTAACTTAGTTTTGAATGAGTCTTATGTAGTGGTTTATAAAATATATCCTGCT